GTCTCTTCCACCGGGTTAACATTTTCCCTCAACCATCCCCTAACTCCAGCCACTCTCACTCCTTTTCCCTTCACTTTTACCCCTGTCCGTCTCAACTTTTACTCCACTCACGTGCGAGTTTCACGACTCGACGCAAGTTTTCCGCCAACACCAACAAGCCTTTTCCGATGTACAAGAATAATGTGACCTTTCCACCGGTTTACGTCCAAAATACCAAATTCTACCTTTTATAAAGGTGTAGTTGAATTTTACTTTTCGATTCTAGACGGAGAGAAATATTTAACAAAATGTACCCATGACTTGGCGTAACATTTGTGGTAAATTTTCTAAAATTGAAAAGGCACCGATTTTTTGAAAACGTCATGCTGCCGAATGAGTCGTAAGGCTCAATTGTCTGAAATCATTTTTTTGATTTCCTTTTTTGATTGCGATTAAACATGGTCATGAGGTCGTGGTCTTTTTTATCAAAACGGAACGGCCAGAAATTTCAAGAGTTATTACGTCCAGGTATTATTCCTTAATTCCAAAGCCATAGAAGTTTAATTTCCGCAGTTTACACTTTTGCATGAAGGATTTACTTGAAGATTGCTCAACTGCGCGCATCAATTTTCTCTGTTCACTAAGAAACACTGATTAAGGTCTTCTGAGAACTTCAAAGTATCTTGGACGAAACCTTTGAATTCCCTTTTAATTCGCTTTAATGATTCAAACCAAGCCTTAATGAAAAATTAATTCCACGATGAAAGAGCTCTATAAACTTTCCTCATTTTTACCCTTCTATATGCAATGAGTCTCGACTTGTTTCCGTTATTTGTTTTTTTTTTTCTCAAAAAATATCATTTACGCATGTCAAAAGCTGCAGTTTGAGTCTCGCAATTTTCACTCCATTCTAACTGACTGAAACTTTATGAATTGATATTTCTTTCATCCACGACCAGAAAGCCACAGAAAAAAAAAATCAATACAATAAAATTCCAAATAGAATTGCAAATCGTGGAAATAATTTTAACTAGGAATTTTTTCATCGATTAAAATACTTGACTGACCATTGGTTATTTCTAATCCTGGCCCCCAATGTCTCAAGCCTTTTGTGGTGGAAAACTGTGCAAGTGACCCCCAGCTCAATCCAAAGTCCACCAACTCCGAAAATTCGTCGGGAAAGTCAGGAGACCCTCTATCTCCAGCTCTTTGGTGAGTAAAAGAAGCCTCATCTTCTTGTATAACACACCCACTGCGCAGACCTTCTCGTTTTCCACTCGAAAAAGGAACCCGTAGGATCCAAGCCAACTTTCTTGCCCATTCCACTCTCATTCTCTTCGTTACGTTCTCACCAAAGTGCACAACACCGTAATGAAACGAACTGGGGAAGTACCTCAGATGTATATAATTCCAGGCGAAAATCCAGACATTCCTACAACAGCCTGCCCCTAGGTCCATCCGCAAATACTCGGCATTGATCACAAAGAAGATCAACAATGTCACTTGGTGATAATTAAAGACAGCTCACTGTTTTCCAAGCATTATCTCCAGCAACACCAGCACCAACCATTTTGTCCTGAGTTGCCAAACATTCCTACCCTTCTATTCAATTTGAATTACGAATTCCAGATTTTCGCACTCTGAAATTCAACAAAACCCAGTTATCCCTCTCATTCTCAGAGCCTTGCCGTCATTTTCACGGATTAATCCTTAATTGTTAAGATTTTTCAATGAGAAATGGTTTTAATGTCAATTTGAAATATCATACGTCAGTAAAAATGACTGAACTTTTTTTCAGTTCTCGTGATAAGTTGGAAGATTCATGCACCTGTTAACTGAATTTTGAATAATTTTCATGTTATGATTATTTAGTAGTAAATAACAATAGAGTAGGATAGAATGATAATAGTTGATAGAAAATTCTTGCAAAATCTACTTTCCCACCTGGAAGTTCAACAAAAGTGAAGAAGTGACAATGTTGAAGTTCTGAAGAAGACCTCTCTGTACACTTGTTCCCCATGCCGTTCTCAACTCTTAATTACTCCCCCTGACCCCCCATTACTCGTGTTTATCGTCGTATTATTTGCATTTGCCTCGGGGAAGTATCACTCTCCCATTTTCGCAATTTTCAAGGTGTTGATGGGACTTGGATGGAGCTGTAAAATTTTGTTCCCCGGGTTCTTTTCTCGTTTCTTCTAATACAACTGAAATGAGCTTTTGAGTACCCTCATTCGTCCTTATTCTAACCCCTGCGGTAACCCGTCATTTTCTCCGAGCAAAAAGAAAAAAAATGATACAGAAAAATACGAAAATGTGAAAAATATGAGTGTTGAATAATGAACAAAAAGAGAGGCGAAAAGAGTCCATGAGTTATTGTGGATAGATGGATATCACAAGCCATAGTGGCACGGTTTGCACATCAAGTGGACACACAATAGCGAAGAGTTTGCCAAGGTAAATTGTGTGACCGCTGGAGTTTTATTTACGAGACGAGGAAAGGCAGGCAGTAAACTTTACCCCTCTCTGGCCATTTGCCGATGCCGTATTTTTTTTCTCTCTTCTCTTCCTAGAAAATATACCGGGTTGAAACGTTAAAAAATTAATGGCCACGTGAAAATTACTTTTTTATTGCTGGACACTAGGTGCTGGGGAAAGTGTCGAAAGAATTTTTCCTTTCCAATTAACGACAGTGCTCACTATTCTGGAAGTTCTATTTCTCGGGTAGGGTGTAAAGCGGGATAAGAACGAGGAAGGTGTATCTCATGGAGATGACACCACTATTTTTTTAATGAAAAATTGTTATTAAGACATTTGACGAGTGACGGGATTTTTTTTTAGAAATTCTACTGCGAGCTAATCGAAATGCAACGTAAGGCCCAAGACTTGCCATTTTTTTTAAATTTAACCCAGGGGTGTATAAATTTCATTCGAAACTCGGATTTGAGATTTTTTAATTCCGGGGGTTGGGGGGTTCGAATATTGCCAGGATTGATATGCCATTTCTAAAGGGAAAAATGCGTGAGGAGTAAATCACTGAAAATCAAATCGGGAAAGTGCGATATCTTGGATTGAAATCAATATTGAATGCAGATTGAATTCGTTTGGAGGGGTGGAATGGGGATAGTGGGCCGGGGAACGTCGGGTTTCCATTAGAAGATCGTGACTTATTGCATTGGACGACATCGAAAGCCACTTCACGCGTTTTCTTCCAAGTTTTACCTCAGACTCACAACCGCTGTAAAGATCGGAATCGGGGGAGCACTCGTCACATTGATGAGTTTGCTCTGCCTCCAGGCGAGGAACTAATGACGGAAGTTTATACATCTCAAAAAGAATAAAAATGACAATTCGTTTAGCTCCGGTTATCAACGATATTCCCCTAAAAATTTGAATTCCCATAAAAAATTTTCCCTTTTTTTTCGATTCGTTGAAATTCGACTCATCACTCTTGAGAATCTCGATATATTTTTTCTGAAATTTCAGAAAAATTTTAAAGCAGTCCACAAAACCTTAAAAATGGCAAATTCGTAATCTTTGTAAACGATAAAACCTTGTCGGATGTTCGAATGAAAAAATTCTGGGCCCCTGTCATTTCCCTCCCTGAAAAACCACGAGAATAAATGTACGGCGAATAGCACAGCGAGGGAAGAAAAAAAATTCCCTCCGAAAACCATCCGAAATGTGAGTTAATGTTTTATGAGATAAAAAGGGCGCAACGCGGTGGCGGCGTTGGTCTCCTGAATTTTTCAGTTCAGTTACAGTACCGACCGCGCACCCCAAAACCCATCGGGGTGTTCCCTTAACCCCTGTCAAGTCTCTCGGGGTGTTGATACCCCCGGGAATGAGACACGCACGTTTTTCCACCTCAATATTTTATGACAGTAATGTGTACGTTGGTGTGCATCACACATAAAGTCTCCCATTTCAGGAGAAATTCCGTAAGCGAATCGATATTATTATTATTCATTATTTGTTAATCTGTTTTCAAGACTGCACTACACGCCTTGAAAATTCCCATATACAATGAATTCCACCACTGAAAATTTAATAACTCCATTTTTTATTCTTCCCAATGCAATTTAATGAAAATGGAAATTACACGATTGGAGAATTGAATTTAAAAAAAATAGATTCGCGAGAAAAAAATTTTTTTTCTCAGTACAGTAGGCAACTGACGCCGAAATAAAATTTTTTTTTCTAACATCAGAGCTGGTCGCATTTGGGCGCTCTATTCATATCACAGATGATGAAGTTACAATTGAAATTTTTTTCTCCTCAACTCTGGGGTTTCGCTCGCTCAGGACAGTTTTAAACTGCAGTTGATTAAGCTCGGGATGATGAGGTCGAGCCGTATATTGCCATTGCCGAACGAGTCAAGGGAAAAGTTTTCCAGCACATTCACTCGTTAATGCTCTTCCTACCGTTTAATCACCTTCACAAGTAGAAAGCTCGACCACATGTATGACACGGTGTGGACGAGTCCGGAATTTTTCTGTCATTTGTGCATTCTTCGCTGTTTCCATTAGTCTCTTGCTCCTCAGTGATACGAACAAGGGGATGAACGAGTGATTCTCGTTAGTGGATTTTACACATCTTTTGAAAGAGATGGATTGGATCTGCTGCACTGTTTGCATCATATCTTTTTTCACTAAAAAATCGATTGAAATTTCTGCCATCTTCATGGGAATTATTTGAATTGCAATTTTCAATGCATTAACTGAATACGTGATTTCGGTATGGGGACCACGCCTGACCAGCCCTGAGCAAGCGAAGAACGAGTGAAAAATTAACACGGAAAAAGCTGGCGAGTGCGCCTTGTCATTACGTTCAGCGACTATTAAAAGTTAATAATTAGAATGCAAGGACTATCTCCTTTTAGCTCGTCTTTCACTCCTTGCTTCAGCAAACTCGAGACACTAATGAAATGAAATACAGTTACTTAAGAGTTGAAAATACGTCTGAGTAATCAATGGAATGAAACTGGAAAATCTATACGATTTTTTATTTTTTTTTTTTTGCAGAGAGACGCTCTCAATCTTGAACCCAGCAAAGTCGCCGACTGCGTGTCTAAGGGAAAGTCCGAGGTGAGTACACAAAAAAATGATATTACATTTGGATCTCAACTTGATATGTTCGTTTAAAATTCATTCATGGAAAAATATTGTTTGTCGCTCGGCCGAAAAAAACTTTTTTGACGTTCGTGTTTACACAGTATAACCCTAGATATAAAATTATAATCAAATTGATTAACGTGTCATTAAAAGTTTAACCCATTTCGTGAATTAGCAATTTCAATTTCCTCCGTATTCAATCTGTCATTAATGAATAATAATAATTATATTATAATGATGAATTATAATCCACCAAAGCTAAATGGATCTCGGAATTAATTAAATTGGGGTCCTCCAATGAGAATTTCATCCTCTAAAATTTCTCAACCGATTCAATGATGTTCCCAATTTGATAGTAACATCTCGATTGAATACCGCAATGAGATTAAATAGAGTAATCCTCATGCATGGAAATTCGCTTATCCATTCAAATTTCCGAAAACTCCTTCCGATCCACATCGGCAGTGAAAAATCGTCAAAGCTATTCTTGTACTTTCAGCATTTTGATTGCCGGAATCACGTGAGAGTCATTCAACCAATGAACGATGGCAAACGCCTCTACATATGCGGAACAAATGCACATGCGCCAAAGGATTGGGTAATTTATGTGAGTATCATTATTATTATATGCTAAATTAATATAGAGAATACCTCTGAAATTTCCTTGAACTTTCGATCAAAACAAATGTTCTCAATCATTTCTGGAAATTTTCACATGATTATCAAATTCTCCAGTTAAACCGCTTCACAGGAGTAAAAAAATTCCATCTTAAAATAATCATACATATTTGACCTAAAATCCTTTTAACTCCAGAAAAATCCTTCTTAAAAAAACAGGAACTAAAAATATTCTCAGAACGGGCGACCAAAGTACTCTATATTCAATGATTCTATAATCATCTCTCAATAGATTTTCACTCTCCCGATTTAAAAGTCCTCTCTACCCTGTCAAAATGAATAATGAACCTGATAACCTGGCAAATGGAAAATATTTGAAAGCCCAGGGTCAAATGTAGCCTGAGTAAGAGGTTCGAGGTTGAATTATAAATGTAAAGAAGGATCTCAGTGAAGAATGAAAGTACTGGGATATCCTTAATTCAACATTTTCCCTCCGAGAATGCATTCATTCTCTCCTCCGTCTTTCATGCTCCTTTATTTTGTATCATTCCACTGAGCCCATCAATTCCTAAGCAACTCAAGTATCCGTGTAACGATCCCAACGAATATATACGAGTCCCAAGTTGTCGAAGCTTACGAGTCCCCGGTGCACAGTATGACCCGCGAAACTGCCTGTACCTTGCTCCTGTTATTTTTTTTTCTCCATCCCCTAAATGCCTTCTTCCAACACCTATTGAGCTCCAATTTATGTCGCCCTCCCCTTTTGTTAAATAGTTTTACTGCAATGTTCGTATTTTTTTTTTCTGTTGCAGAGTAATTTAACCCACCTCCCACGTCACGAATTTGTTCCGGGCATTGGAACGGGCATTGCCAAGTGTCCTTACGACCCTGCTGACAATTCCACGGCAGTTTGGGTTGAGAAGGGTAATCCTGGCGATTTGCCCGCACTGTACTCCGGTTCCATTGCCGAATTTACAAAGGCTGATACTGTTATATTTCGGACTGATCTTTACAACCTGACGAATGGCTGGAAGACTTACAGCTTCAAGAGGACACTCAAGTATGACTCCAAGTGGCTGGACAGTAAGTCTATTTTTTTTTTCAATATTTCAGGTGTTTTAGGAGTCTCCAGCTCTCAGATTGCCCTGCAGGGAGAACCTGTATTTTTTCCGAGTGTTATTTATCATGTCTTCCGATAATTTACACTTGGAATTTTTCTCGATGACCAAGCAAAATCAAATGAAGGCATTATTTTCCATTAGTTACAATTAATTTCACGGAGAATCTCGCGAATGCTGAAAATTATATTGAAATTGACGTTGAATTTCCGGGATAAATCTGATGAGTCAAGATTTGATTAAAACCTCCATTTCCTTCAATTTTCAGGATGAGTGAAAAATTGAATGAATATTTAAAATTGTCATTGAATTGAAATTCTCTCGTGATTGAAACTTCAGGGAAAATTTTAATATTGCTAACAATCTATTTTAAACTCTCGGATTTAATGGATAATTCAGAGTTGGCGCAATAAAATTTCTTCATGAAGAGGCCGGAATTTTCCATTTTACTAGAACGAGCATTTTCCATTCACACGAACTTCCTCCGTGAACTCCTAAATCACTCGTTAACTCCAATAGCCGACTAGTTTCCCATCCAAAGTCATTGGGCGACAGATTCATCCCCACGAAAATTCTTCAAATGGTCTTCAAGTCGAACCCCGAATATCACCTCAAACTCGATCTACCGAGATCTACCATTAACCCCAGAACAATGATAAACGTCATAATGCCCCGAAAATGGTCCAATTGAATCGCGTGTGCCATCGGAGCATCTCGCATTCGTGTCCACTGAGCCTCAAGAATCGCTTTCAACTTCACTTATAAACGCGGAAGAATTTCAACCCATAGACTGCATACGCTGTCGCCGAATAATTTTTCCTCTTCGTCTGAGGAATTCCAGATATTTAATGGGCAAGATGGAGCCCTTGCCCCTCCACGAGGTGCAGAGAGTGACTGAAAATGAATTGCCAGATGGGGTGAGACCCCATCGGCCCCTCCAGTGCGTGAGTTTAACCCGAGGGGATGGTGTACGCTATCAAACGTCTCGAGGGTGTGAGATATCTTGGAGAATGGTAATAAAATAACGCCGTGCATACCCCATTCTATGCCTCCTTTGCCAGCTAAACGTCCCGTTCGAAGGCCCCTCTTTACACGAACAACTTAAACTTTTCCATCCCACCAAGTAAAACGGGATTGCAGTTTTCTTCGGCCCTCTCCCCACTCGGAATATCTTTCCATCCGGTAAGAATCAACGACCGCAGGAGATACCGCCTCAGTGTCATCCCCAGAGGCTCCAACTTTTTCCACTCCGAAATAATTTGATTTTGCCCCATTAATTATTGAAAATGGAAAAATATACACGGGGTATATTCAATGTATCTTCATCCACTTCTTATTCCACCCTCTCATCCTCTCACACTTTCAAAGTTTTTAATGAAGGTTAAACCTTGGCCCCTTTGGTGCCCTCGGGATGCATGATTAGCCATTTGTTTCGACGTTTAATTCGAGAGAGCGTGCACTGGAAAATTTTACCTCCGAGCGGCATCCCAGACAGCATCAAGATCCATTCTTCCCATTGAGTTTGTCTATTAAGCAGTGGCGTTGATTAAACGGGGCGAGAGGCTGATCGCGGGGGGAAGACCTTGACGAATGTGCTTTAACGTTGGGCGACATTCTAAGTTCAACTTGGTAGCAAGTATAAATCGAGGAGGTGGATGGAGAGAGGAGGATGTTAACGAGATCTGAATAACTGGCTGACGAGACACGCAGGGGTTACTTTCATGGCTGCGTAAGCAAGTGGAGAACTACTTGATATTACTCTCCTCCAGGATATCACGATATTTCACAGGGAGAACTTTCCCCGAAAGTTCAAATGTCTTCTGACCATTTACCATTTATTTTTATTCCCCAATACACGCTGAGGAAAATTAAAAAAAAATCTTATTGATGTTAATATCAAATTATTTGATGAGAGATCTTTTGAACGATTTTATGAGAAATATTTTCTGCTGGTGGGGTGATGGGGGGCATCGGGAGAAAAATTAATTGGAAGCTGTCTGATGTTATTACACCGAGGAGATGCCTTTGATCACATTTAATCCGATGAATCGTTGCTATTTTTGACGAGTATAATAGAGCCACTCAGAGACAATAATTCAATACATCCCTCTCGAAATTGTTCACGGAAGAAGCTCAGGAGTGATTCAATTCGAGTACTGCTGGACTTGAGTGTATCACTTGGATGAGATGAGAATCCGTCAAACTAACAGAGTAGAGATCACAAGACTCACATCACAGTGTCTTACGGTAGAGGCTCTTGGGAGCTTCCTCAACGGTTAATACATCAAAGTTTCGGGGAGAACTCGAGCAGACGCGATCGATTTAATCCTTCAGTCGTACACCAAAGCCGAGGCTCGTGCACATTAGTCATATATAAGTAGCTTTGGAGAGTTAGTTCTTGAAAAGAATTTTATATATTTTATATGATTGTGCCTGTTCATCTGGAAAATTATGAGTGCCTCTAAGTATTGAGGGGAGCATCGGGAATTTCATTGGCTAAAGGGACTGAACAACTCCACTGGCATAATCTGCTGGATTTCGTCTTAATTTCAGACGCTTAAAAAAAAATGTTGTCATTAAAAGTCAATTAGAAGCAGAAATTAATAACGTAATAAATTTTGCAAATCGATTGTGGAAACATTTGCCTCTTCCCAATTTCCAAAAATTTTTTTATTAATTGTCCCAAAATCTACAGTTTCGTCAGATTTTCCCATAAACTGTCGAATTTCCAGCGGCAGAATTCCTGAAAATTCGAGTACAAATGAAAATGTAACGCACTAAAAAATGTTAACTACCTATTGGAAATTCCGAATAAAATCGTTAAAACGGCGTTAGTTGTCAAAAAATAGGATGGGCGAGAGGTAGCGAGTTGACAGTGTATATGGGAGGGCAGAATTCCTTGGCAAGATTTATCGTCCACCCGAAAATTGAAAGTGATAAAACGCCTGCAGATGCTACCGTGTGCTGTTTTTGGAATAAAGATGTATGTGTATATGGATTTTAAGTACGCTCTCGTGCAAGAGCATCGTTTTTGGCTAGTCCATTCGGTCGCGAAATTATTAACGCTTTTCGTTTCGTCGTTGGTAAAACCTTCCCTCTGAAGCGTCGTTAAACTCAGTTTTACGATAGCAACGCCCGTAAAACGACAAGTGGATGATCATTGAACTTGCGTTAAATTCAGGGTGGTCCGGAAAACGTAGAGTTATCACCCACCCCCAACCCTCATTTCAGTAACGCTGAATGAAAACTACAGAAGTCGTTCGGAGCGCTTTGAAAAAGCCTTTTCTCGTTTAACGTTCAGAAATGGGGTGAGGGGAAACATCGGTTTTATGATGCTCACCTGACTCCAACGATAGCAAATCGTTTCTGCAAATTTTCTCGATCCTGAGAGAATGGAAGTGAGAGTAATACTGGTGGCTTTATGAAAATGCTAAAGCTCACGGCTCAAATAATCTTACGATCTGGCAAAACATCAAAAGCACGTCATTTACTGGAGATATTCGATAGGCGTGAATGAAGAATTCTTGGTTTAATATTCATCGTGTTTGTGTTTCAGAACCCAACTTTGTTGGATCTTTCGACATTGGACAGCACGTATTCTTCTTCTTTCGAGAAACTGCTGTTGAGTACATCAATTGTGGCAAGAGCGTTTACTCGAGAGTTGCCAGAGTCTGTAAAAAAGATACAGGAGGGAAGAATATTCTCTCCCAGAATTGGGCAACTTACTTGAAAGCTAGACTAAACTGCTCGATACCAGGAGAATTTCCCTTCTACTTCAATGAGATTCGTAAGTTGTTATCTTCATTATTTCATTTTGACACCATTTAAAAATTTTAAAAATTCTCAATTGAATTTTTTTGGCTTAAGACTTCTGACTTTTCGACCCCAGTCGAATTTCATTGCAATTTTCACAATGTTGTAAACTTGGATTAATGAAAAATCTTGAGTTCGAGTTTTCAAGACTTCAGTTGAAACTTTCGACGATTACTTTTTGAAAATTTGCGATTGAAATGCATGGAGAGGAATGAGTTGTTACACTTGCCGCAATCTTTAATTCCCTCAAGCTCTCGATGATAACAGGCCTCTTAATTTCAGAATAATATCATGATAGCTTTTTTACGATCTTTTTTCTTTTAACGTCAATTTTCTAGAGAGTATCTACAAAGTACCAGGCGATGACACTCACTTCTACGGTACATTCACGACCTCGACGAATGGCCTCATGGGCTCTGCCATTTGTTCCTTCCACATTGACGCCATTCAAGAGGCATTCCGTGGTAAATTTAAGGAACAAGCGACCTCCAGCAGTGCTTGGTTACCAGTACTATCCAACAAAGTACCAGACCCCAGACCAGGACAGTGTGTCAATGATACTGAAGCACTACCTGATACTGTATTGAATTTTATAAGGTCACATCCACTTATGGACTCGGCCATTTCACATGAGAATGAAAAGCCAGTGTTTTACAAGCGTGATATTATGTTCACGCGACTTGTGGTTGATAAACTCAGGATTGATTTCGTGGGAGTCGACCTGGAATACACTGTCTACTATGCTGGATCTAGTGAGTATTTTTATCATGTTATTACGAAATTTCGAGGAAATAGCCGAATGACAAAAATTTATGTGATTGAAGTAATAAAGATAATACTGATTATTAAGTAATTTCTCTGATAACAAAGTGTTGATCGTGTTCCAGGCGACGGTCGAGTCCACAAAGTAGTTCAATGGCTTGACAACAATGGCGACTCACAGTCGATTCTCCTTGATGTATTCGACGTAACCCCTGGTGAGCCAATTCGAGCAATGGAGATATCCAAGGAGCATAAAGCACTTTACGTTGCATCTGACCATCGCATAAAGCAAATCGATTTGGTTATGTGCTCAAGGCGATATGATAACTGTCTACGGTGCGTGCATGATCCTTATTGCGGATGGGACAAGGACACCAACACTTGCAAACCGTATGCACCAGGGTGAGTTGTAATTTCATGCTATGATTTTTATGGCTATCTGTTGGGAATAACAATTGCACGCAGAGGATTGATGTTCAGTGGTGCGTGTGATTTTTTTCGGTGGAAATTCGGTATTTGCCCCGATACGCGTACGTGTTCGAATCGAACTTTTATTGGACCAAATGAAAATCCTTTGGCCAGTAACTGATAAATAAAAATTGGACGGTGGATACACCACCCCCCATTTTTATAGAACGATTCTATTTCTTCATTCAAACGCAACACTCAATTCGTTGAAACTTTTTTCCATGAGAATTTTGGCAATTGAATCGGTTTTACTAATCCCTGAAACAGCTAATATGAGATGAGAGAGGAAAGTTTTTCGATTCAAGAAGATATCACGTTTAAATCCATGTGAAAGTATTATTTTTACATTTAAGTACGCAATTAGTACGAATTCGATGTGTTTACATCCGCGATGGCGGATAAATAAGGGGAGCCTATGGGATCAGTGAAAATATTGCGTCAGAGTATTCCGCGTCAAAGTGATATTCTTTTAAATTTGATCAACTTCCGACGATTCGTTCACGTAACATCATTCCGAGTTTCATATAATACCTCAACAATGATTTTCGTTTCTTCTTTTGCAGGTTGTTGCAGGACGTATCAAACAGCACAGCTGATGTGTGTGACAGCAGCGTGGGTAAGAGAAAACTGATCGTAACGTGGGGCCAGTCTGTGCATCTCGGTTGTTTCGTAAAAATGCCAGAAGTATTATCAAACCAGGAGGTGAGATGGTATCACTACAGCAAGGAAAAGGGAAGGTATCAAATATCATACAGATACGGTGCGGGTGGTGATAAATTCATTGAGACATCTGAGAAGGGTCTAGTTATTGTAGGTGTTAATGAACAAGATGCTGGTAGATACGACTGTTGGCTTGGTGGTGCACTACTGTGCTCATATAATATAACAGTGGATGCACATCGTTGTAGTGCACCAGCTAAATCAAATGACTACCAGAAGATATACTCAGACTGGTGTCATGAATTCGAAAAATATAAATCAGCAATGAAGAGTTGGGAGAGAAAGCAAGCCCAGTGTGCATCTAGAAAAAATGATAGTAATCAGTATTTACATACGAATGAAGTTTATGATACACCATTGGTGTGATCCAGCAGGTCATTGGACCCTTTATCAAACAGAGATTACGACACGATTATCCACATAAGCGTATTACCAAGAAATGGCGCTTCCTGTAATGTTCAGTGGTGTTGCATTACACTTTTATCGATTATTATCAATGCTCTTGGGATGTGTGATAATACATCGTGTTAATGAAACTTTTCATGACTGATAAATTCAATAGCGTTTTTGAATACTACAGTGCCATTGAGAGGGAACTCTCTCTCGGGACTAGAATACGCGAAAAACATTACACATGACTCCAGCCATCATCGCAGGGAAATCCACATGGAATTTTGCACTGTTTATACCTTTTTGGGATTTCGTTTTGGTTTTATTTTTTCGAGGAGCGACTGTATATAAATCATTGCAGATATTCGATGGTGGAATGTTTCTTGCGATGGGTTTGATGGACGAAACGATAACTCTGTTCGATTATTGTGATGTGTTATTTCGGATGATTCTGGTGAATCCAATTGGTGAAACTATTGAGACGATTTCATCATTTTCAATGGCTCTCTTCTTTGGACAGTAGATCAATTAATTTAAATACATATTGAAAGAGTTGAAAGTTTCGTTCATCATTTCTGGAGGACCAAGCAATTTCTCCTGCAAGAGAGGAATTTGCCTTTTCTGGGGTGGATTGCCATTTCCACCTTTGCAACGCAAATGTGTGAAATACGTGGAAAAGAATAATCACGAAATACAAAAAAAAAAGTATTCTCTGTTTTCTCAAACCTGTGATATGGATGGGTAGCCGAGGATACCCATGACGTTTTATGAGTACTCCCAGTCTTGGTGAAACTCAAATTGAAAAGCAGGAAACAATCATGACTTAAGAAAGAAAGATAAAAACGTGTTTTTCGTCTCGCTATTCCACGATTAATGCGTGGTTGAAATTATGAAGAATAGAGAAGCTATAGGTAAACAAAATTTAAAAAACCATTAAGATTAGGCAATATGGGTATGGTTTAGTGCGGACAGAATGAGAATAAATCTGACGCGTTGAATTATTCCGGCGCCATTAAAGTTACACAATGAGATTAAATTAGATTGACGGCTTATCGTGGATACTCTTCACACGCATCACGCGTCATGATTTTATAATTTTAATTAACTCATCGATTTCCCATTGTTTGATGATCGTAATCCGGGCTTTTAATTATTCTCCAATATTTTGTCTCTCTCGGTATTGAAAAAGCGAGTGGTAAATTCAGAAAATGGTGGTGGCATTTTCCACTGATCCACGACTTAAAAATTAATTTTTAACAATTTGCCGTTTAGAGTTGCTGTTCTGCGAACATTGTCATGAAATCTGAGTGGCCGCGTGTGGGTAATCCAAAATACCGTTTACCATGGTGCTTACAATTGCCAGAAACAAAAAAAAAACATTCACATACAATATTGAGTACGAGGTAGTTCACGCTCTCCCAGTTGAAAAAACATTTACACACGTCCCGCACTGCTGGAAATCTCCGACTGGTTTTCTGATGGTAGATTTTCCGTAACGATGTCCAGTTTTCGAAATAGACGGTTTTCATTTGAAATTACGAACAAATAGGATGGATTGCTTCGTCGACTCGTGAATATTCATGACTAGACTTTAATCTCATTTACTTCTGATTATCTGTGAAAACCTGATAATTCATCTGGATTTCGAGGGAGTCTCTTTTGAAATCAATATTGGATGTTGCCAACAGTGCACGTTATTCCGCCTGTATTATTACTTCATTCCTCTTTCAGAATATACCCTCGACTCCTTCGCTCATTCTCACAAAACAAGTCACACGTGCTCATTTTCTTCGTGAGTTTACACGTCCTCGCGAATCATTTATACTGTATGTACATAAATTTTTAAGATGAAGAACATAGGATGTAAAACTTATTGGGTAGGAGGAAACTAATATTAAGATAGGGCGATATCTGGTATCCACTAATTTTCATAAAAATCGTGGTTTTTTAAGTTCATTTTGTATTTTCATCGCAACTGACTTTTCTGAAAATTAGTCGAGTGTATCTGCAGTGAGGTATAAAGCCGGAATTTTCATTAATTTTTTATTTATCTTCGATTATTTCCAAGTTAAAGGTAACCAGAAGGGTAAACGTGAGTCACTTCTTGCCGTCGATTTGTAAATAAACCCGAGAATGATCGTCACAGTTTTTCACGCGTTATTCCTCATACTTTGGGAGACTTAAATTGTTCAAATGGTTTCAGATGTCGACGCTAGTGAGATACTATAATTTTATTTCTTGAAAGCGGGATTTTGGGGTGAATAAAGGGTAATCTCGTGTATAAATACGAAATAGAATGGGTAATTCTTAAGCTATGTACAGAAGAAAAAATCGAGTAACGAGATGGTAACGCAGATAAAGTGAAAAAATGAATAACTCGCAGCACGTGAGAGCGGCGCGTATCGCTGAAAGAAAGGGATAAAATTGAATAATTAAATTTTGAAAACCGTCGAGCCAGACGATGCGACGTTTATTTTTTGAGAGACGGTGGACGTTGTGGAGAATAAATCTAACTACACGATTAATTTTGAACGAATAAATGATGTAGAGAAAGAAAAAAAACCACCTAGCGAAAACCCATAGCCAATAATCGTAATACAATAATTGATAAAACGAGATTAAAAATGAAAAAAGCAAAAAAAAAAGGTGAAATAAAAAACGAAAGACGAACAAATCTTATCCTCGAGCAAACTGTACTTGCTATATGAGCTTCGACAAGTATTGGATAGTATTACATATTAAGAAAGAATTAAGGTAAAATGTACTTGAGTGAATGAGACGCTGTTGTGCGTCGAATATCGATGAGGTCGAATATCGTTTTCTCACTGAAAAACAAACCATCAATCATTCTTCATTTTGTATAAAATAAATCGTGGACTCATTCTCATTTGACGCACTGAATTCATATGTTTCATTCACTCGTTAATATTCAACCGCCCACCAATCACAACATGAATGAAATAATAAACTATTGAGATGAATGAATACGTAAAAAATGGAATAGAAAACAATTGTAAAAATATCTTGTGTAAAGGAACGAGTCTTAATGAGTGGATTGACAGAAGGAACATAATGAAGTTTAAAAATTGCAGAAAATAGTAAGGGTTATGGATATTTTCATCGATAGTTCTCGAATCGAAGTTCAATTTTTCCTAGATATGACGTGAAACGCGTAATTTATACATCGAAATATCTATTCTCAGTGCAAACTTCCATTCGAACGCTGAGGAGAACAGCTAATTGGGTTTCGATTGGAGTGCACTCGAGCGAATGATTTCAGAGGTGATTAAGGAAAAAAGCAATCTAGGACAAAACCTAATGTTGTTAGATCATATTAATTTTTAAGATTATCAAGTATTGTATATGTTACATTCTCGTATACGATTGACGCGTCGAAATACTCGTTGGAATGCACTTTTTGAACAATTCAACGTGACAATTTGATTTTACTCATTCCTTTGGTTGTGAGGGGAGAATTTAAACATTGCAACGACTGCCAAATCGTTTTTATATCTGGAATTTCGATGTGTCAATCAGTCGGTGAATTAAGGCTAGCTCGGTTTATGCGTTCGTTTCCCCCAACGCAGTATCATCAACTGCGGTATAATGGTGATTATTCTCGTAATGCTGAATAGAAAATAAATTTTAAAAACTTACGATTAAATTTTCGTTCTTAATTATGGCATTTTATATACTTTCTATTTTCGTATTATGATTTTTCACTGCTGGAGAGTATTCTCACAGTTTAAAGACTTATTTTTAAGATATTTTTAATAATTTCACTTTTACATTATGCTGTTTTATAATTTAATTTCTCATGCCCTCGACTGATACTGTAGGTTTTTTCGTTAGTATAGTGGATTTTATTTCGCCTCACGTTCTGCGTTCATTGTTCTTTTCAATTCGAGAGAAATGGAAAAAAATGGCAACGTCTCATGTGTCGTATATCCAATGACAGTTTCCGGGCTCGTAATGGATTTATTACCTCATTTCCCTGCACTTCATCTCGATGTTTCACTCCATGACATTTCCTTTATACTCGTTAAAGGAAAAACTAATTGAACTCGTAAAGAGTATGGAAATAGAGGACTGAGGCAATTAATTGCATGCATTGTAGTACTTTCCTTCGACTGGAGGAAATACTAATATCATTCTCACCCGATTTTCCCTCACAATAATATTATAATGCCCATTTCCGTCGCCAATATCATTACTCTCGTTTATCCGAGGACAACTCCATTAATCCACCGTGAATGCAAACCAATAACCATGGACTCCCATTTATTTCCATCTCTCACTGATAACCAGTAAGATAAAAACAAAAACTTCTAGATATTCACCTAAAGAAAACCTAAAACATCCAATCGCTATTTTTATCAAAACGAAGAAAATATGTTAAAAAAAATCTTTAACAGTTATCCATTGTTCACTATTGCTATAATAAAGATTTGCTTTAATAAATGAGTCGAAGTGTCTGTTCTTGATCAATGATTCCTTTATACCCAATCCAATCAGATTTCCCCCGCGATTACATTCACTATTACTTATCACTGAATTTACAATCAAATCCATTTACGTCGTAACGAAAATTCAGAATCGATTTCACCAGAGTGGTGGATTATTTTTACCTCTACCTCCAGTGAAATCAATCGTCATAAATGATGCATAGAGTGCCAGATACGGCTAATGGATACATAAGCTCCATTCCAGGTACGTCATGTTAACTTGAATCATTTGTATGACGTCATGAATAACTGCTCTTTAAATTTGAAGTCAGTACGCAATAAACTTCGATTATGTGGTGACGTTTCTCGAGGTTTATGTCAGACGGTCATTGGCGTCGTGGACTTACGTCGGTGCTATGACGTACTTTGAGTATAGCTCTCGAAATTATACAACTACTGGGATTGTCATCGCAAATCTAGAGTACCGGGACTGTTATCCCGTGGTGTCATGGAATAATGTGGAAATTCATTTCTACAATACAACATTCATCGCTTTTTTATTTGAATCATTCGAGCACTTCGATAAATTGAGGTGAGTGTAATCATTTCTACTCTGAGTTTTAATATTCAATGAGAAGACGTGAAACTCGGATAATCATTAAAACGGTGAAGCTTTTCGCGTGATCTCACGGTGGATCTCACTCATGTCATAATGTATAACGATTAAGGTGTAAATTATTAACGGTGCGAGATACTGGGGATTATGGGGACAAGTGTGGGGGGAGATAATGGCATTTTTCGGTGACTTATTGGTCGAGATTGATCGTACATCATCGGTGGAGATTTGGCGGGGGTCAGTCCAGGGGTAATTTTTGGGGAATGGACGACGAGTTGGCATGCACACTGTGGGTTATGCAAATTCACGTTAAATGGTCTCTTCAACCTGTTCTTTTTTATATTTTTGGGTTATACATTAGAACTGAATTGGATTTTCCGTGGTTCAATAGTGCTGTTCACATCTTTTTATTTTTAGAGGGTTGTTGAACATATTGACGTAAAAAATATATAATTTTTCTAATTTTGTCGGTATGCAATGACTCATGAGAATTCAATTCTCAAATCCTCAAATTTAAAAAGAAGTTATTAAAATGAAAATTAAATAAATATTCAAGCGAGAGCCATAGAAGACTCGAAAAAAGAAAGGACCTCGGGGTTAAGTATCAATTACAGGTGGTAAATGCATTTGCAGATAACAAATGTGAAAGGAATTCATGACGATTTTTTGGAGCAATTTATCTTATAGCATTTCCGAGTGAACCGTCTTTGCTGCTCCAATCGGTTTCTGTGCAATGGTGTCCCATCTGTTCTTCACGGGAACATTCACGTTTTATATTGCTCAAGGATGCTTTTACATCATATCTAGTGATCGGAGTAGGTGTGATCAGGAGGGCCGTAAATGCTTGGAGATTATGAGTACACAGGGACGCAGATGTCCCACGGAAACTTTCTTCATTGGGGATTCGCATTATGTTTACTCCCATTTTTCACTCGTATTCCGAGAGGAATTAATTGTTCTGAGAAAGGTGATCAATACTAGCATCTGTAGAATATTTCTCATTTCTTACGATTAATCCAAAAAAAAAAAAAAAATTAAAAAAACACTGAATTGTCTGAATATGAATTTTCATTTCGAAATGATTAATTATTGCTCTATGAAACTGTCAGAAATAATGAGCAATTGGGGAAAGAAAAATTACGAGAGCCATTTTAGAAACGGACTCCATCTTGGAATCATCGTGTAATTTGAATGGCAGTGAGCCTTCAGAAAATGAAATTCATTCTGGAATATTTGGCATTGAGTGTCATTGACATCCCTCTCTGTCTGCAACACTACCAAAAACCAAGTTCAACCCTTCAAAATGTGTTTATCATCCACAATAGCTTCGTCTGGAGTATAACAAGCTGTGATAGGGAGACATAACCTTAGAGAGGCCCCTGTCACCACCGACAAAGCGCCTAACCGCCACTTTGAAACGGGTGAGTGTCACTACCATGTGTTGGACTAACAGCTTCAAGACACATTTCGATGCCACTAATTTTTCAATAAACTTTACTAGAAAGTTGTCGATAAAATTTATAAATTTTCCCGATCCACCCACCCTCAATTAATGACTCCTCTGACCGTGAAAGCTCGTGTAAAACTTAGAAAAAATAATGTTCTTTGCATATGTGTAAAAATTGCCATTTCATTAAATTTCATTGTTGCACGCAGTTCAGAGTGATAGTATATGCAATAGCTTGAAATTTATGTTGCCGTAGTATTGTTTAAAAAAAATTTTGAAAAGCTTTTTGGTTGTCACGGTAGTTTAGGTGCCTCTTGAAAAAGCGCCTGGCAGTGAATAAAATAGGATGGGCATCGCACCCCGGTGTAAAAATTTGAATGAAATACATTGTGGCGGTTTCCAGATGGTTGAAGGTAATAGACTTGGGTGCCATCTCCTCAGTCTGGTTGACTCCTCACCAACTGGATGGATTCACTCACCCTTTTTCCCTCTCAACTCGTGAGGGCGGAAGACACCCCTGTGGGAGATGTGAAATCCTGGGCGCCTTCGGTGTCACGAGGCAACGTTTATACTCAAAGACATTGGACGAGAAACTAAACATACATACATACGCTGAATGCATTTACGTGTTGGGATATAACCCGAGAGGCGTAAGAAGACTGGTACAACGACAACGACAGTTAGTAAAGTGTGGCGAACAAGTACGTGCCATCCAAGACTCTATGGTGTTGGTAGGACAGAGAGGGCCGCTTATCCTGTCGTAACATCTTGGTGAAAATACGTTTCGAGTGGCATAGTACAAAGATTATGGAGTCGGAAGAGGTACGGGTGGTGCAGGGGAGACGTGACTTGACATAATTCAATGAAAGCTCGGGAGCGAGTTAATTAAATCCGTGAGGATGAGTATTGAACGGCAACGAGAGGTAGACGCTGTTTTTGACTCCAACTTCGTCAAGAAAAATTTTTCTCAAATGGATGCCATTTTTTTTACCCACTCTGAGAATTCTATGCTAATACTGATTTAATAATAGTTAATACGGGAGAAGGAATTCTTCGAAATTCCAGGGGACCAAATGATGAAAAATGGATAGAGTATTGTCTATGCTCTTCGCAATGACAAGAAATAACGAGAGGTAATTGTTTACCGCGGTCAAACAAAAATGATCCGCAGTTAACACGGTGTGAATAATTCGATACAGCTATTTCCACAATTTTCCAAAGGTATGTGTTAGAAATTTCCATTATTTGAATGTTAACATTCGATCGCACAGATTTAATACGATTTGTTTACACATCGGTGGGTATGTTTGTCTGACCAACGTTGATTTTATCCTCTTCACTGGTGGAGTGCCGTATGCATGTGGCGTAGAAGAGAGGGTGGTTATACGCCACGTTGAGTACTACACCTCCTATTCTCGGATCGTTGTAATACGGCCTATTTCATCGAACCACAGTCATCTTCTTTTTGCATTTGTTTTCCGCTGAGTTTGCCTTTCTGCTTCGGTTATCCACACAGAGAAAAAACATTTTTTACACCGGATAAAAGTTT